GGGGGGGGGGGGGGGGGGGGGGGGGGGGGGGGGGGGGGGGGGGTTAGGGAGATGCAAAGTTGGGATGCGTGTAATTTCTCTCCTCCTGGCACGCGGGGTCTGTTGGGAGTGGGGGAGTGCAGTGCTCACGCTGGTCTTCCTGCCCAAGGCCGGCCTGAGAGAGGCGACACCAACGCCTTGTAACATCTGGCGTCGAAGCAACCCCACTGCTTTTGGAGAGGGGTTTGATGTTTCCTTTTAGCAGGAAGACGCACACTGCTTCCAAAAACCGAGGCGTGATTTCGTTTCCAACACAACCAGAAAATTTGAAGACACATTCGACACAGTGAACGAGAGTTCTTTGGCGAACACGAACACACGAACGGATACGCCAACGTCCGTGCGCGTCAACACAAGACAGGGGTCACTCACTGTAAAGGTAGAAGAACACGCCGCTGGCCACGGTGTTGTAGATGATCTCGTTCCTGAAGCCGCAAGCGCGCACGTAAATTAGCACATGCGAGAGATTAACCAGACCGAGAGGGTAGAGGGAACGCACTTGTAGCGTGAGCACACATGCACAGTCAGCAATCAAGCCCAGATAGACGCTTTTCTCAGCAAGGTGGACTTCTACAGCACTCTTTAAAAAACACACTCAACAAATGGCCCAGCCTACCCCTCACGGGATTCGAGAGATCATATTAGGGTTGCGCGCTGAAACTGAAGTTCTTGTACTGGTCAGCCAGTTAGCGCGGTCGATGCAACAACAAAACACAGACCAAGGGAGAGATGAAAGAGACGACAGAACTTAAGATATACACACAAGAGAATGACACTAGAGTAGAGATGGAAGAGACGACAGATTTACGATAGAAACAGAGAATAACAAAGAGAGAAGACATGAAAGAAACGACAGAACTTCAGACATAGACACAAGAGAACGACAAGGGAGAAGAGATGCAAGAGACGACAGAACACAAGATAGAAACACAAGAGAATGCAACATAGACAAAAGAGATCTAAGAGACTACCTACCCCTTTTCGGGGGTGGTGACAGTGCTCTCCCACAGCTCCTGGATCTTGGGGCCCTCCACAATGGCGGACAGCGGCAGGAGCATCGCCGAGGCCATGATGGTCAGGACGGCGTACAGGTTGGCGGGACTCATGTTCTTGCCCATGTCCATGCCCATCGAGCGCTTCGAGAGGATGGCGCGGGTGGACGCGGCGAGGTTGGAGCCCATGGCTCCCCCGAGGGCGGCCCACTGTTTGCAGNGGGGGGGGGGGGGGGGGGGGGGGGGGGGGGGGGGGGGGGGGGGGGGGGGGGGGGGGGGGGGGGGGGGGGGGGGGGGGGGGGTCTCGTGTTAGTTATCGAATGCAAGAGTTGGAGGTCAGGTGGGACGCTAAGGTGCGCAGGGGGGAACCTCAGGACCGTGAAGGCATGTTCCCCACTCTCTCCAATTTCCTATACCATTGACATAAAATATCCACTACACCTGAGCACCGTTCCCTTCACCTACACGCTACACCACGCCCGCCCCGCCCCGGCCCGTACGGGACGATGACGACGACGACAACGACCCAGCTACTGCTATCGGTCGTTGCTTCTCTCCCGGCGCGAGCACAAAGAAACACACACGCCCATTACCTTGAAGTCGAGCTCCTTGAGGGAGGCGAGCGCCACACCGGCCACCACGGGCACAAGCGTCAGGTACACCAGGGGGGAGAAGATCTGTCCCAGGAAGATGGCGCTGTGGTGTCGTGTCGGAAACACCATGCGGGAGGGGGGGGGAGGGCATGTTTCATGCCTTAGTTGTCAGACTACCGACCATGCGTCCTCGAGAGGACGGTGCATTGTTAACCACGGGGG